CTATGTCCCTAATCTGTGTAAATCCTCTAGCAACAAGACGCGCTTTGTACCTTACTTGACCATTAGCATCAAGGTTTTGCTTAAAAATCCATTTTGTGTCAATAGGATTCCTCCCTCTTGGTAAATTGGCAGGTTCGTACACATTTAACCTTTCCATGTTTTTCAGCTCTTCATCTGTAGCCTCTAACCATTTTTCCTTTCTTCCCTTGTGGCAAACTTTCTATTTCCTCAAAACTTTGAGGCTCATAATTAACTAAACATACTCTCACATTTTGTATTGTGAACCTGTCAGGTTTCTTTCTGGTTCTCTCACTTCTTCTGAGTAAAATTTCCTGACTAGTTCCTTCCCCAGGATCTTCATTCACCTCATCATCCTCATCTGAGAGCCTAGACCTCTTAAATTTTCTAATTATAGGCTTACTTATGAGTTGAGGTGTAGCAGCACTTTCCTGCACTGTGTTTTGTCTACCTTGCTCACGAGTTTCCTCTTTCGAAATAGGAAAGAAAACTTCCTGATTAGCATGAATCTTATCCCAATTCTGGCTACAGGCAAAATTAGCAGATCTTGATATAACAATGCTTCCTTCATTATCTAAAAATCGCCAAGCTTTGGCTCCCTGTGCATAGCCAACCATTGTTAATTTCCTGGCTTTGTCTTGGCCTTTCCTTCTTAATGGTTTGGGGATGAACACCCATGCCTGTGTTCCAAAAGTCCTTAAATGCCCTAATGGAGGCTTCTTGCCATATAACATAAAATAAGGGGTGTTCTGAATAGGCTCACATCAGAGTCTATTAATTAAATAACATGCAGTCATTACTGCTTCTCCCCATAGATTTTGGGATAATCCAGAATCTTCTAACAAAGAATCTTTCACTGTTTGCACTTTTCTTACAAACCTTTCTATCTTTCCATTTTCTGCACTTTGATAAGCACATGTGAGTCTGTGCTTTATCCCCTCTTGCTTCAGAAAATTTTCTAAACTATGTGAGGTAAACTCTCCTCCTCTGTCAGTTTGGAGAGCCTTTACTCCTACTCCAAATTGTCTCTTCACATATGCCACCCAATTCTTAATAATATCAAAAACGTCACTCTTTTGTTTTAACAAAAAACACCAAGAAAAACAAGAATAGTCATCTAATAAACACAGTATATAACAGGCTCCACCCTTACTCGGTTGAAATGGTCCAACTAAATCAGCATGTACCAACTGAAACTTTTCCTCTGAGTTTCTCAAACTTTTACTAACTGGAGCTGACTGTGTTTTAGTTTTCTTGCATACATTGCAATCTAGAAACTTCTTGCAATCTTTTAATTTTATGCCTTCACTAAACTCTGGCATTTTATACAACACTTTGAAACTTGGGTGACCTAATGCTCTATGTAAATCATGAATACATTCCTGGTGTAATGGAGCATTCTTACTTATTACATTTACTTCACTTCACTTGTGTTATCTCCTGAGGTCAACACATACAAACCCCCCTGTAATACACCAGTTCCACATAACTTATTCCCTTTCAAAATCCTGACTTTTCCTCCAGAAAAATTAACTTCATAACCTTCTTTATCCAGTTTTCCAACTGATAATAAATTATAATAAATCTCTGGAACTAAAAATACATTCCTTAATGTTTTACCCAAATGCTTAACATAAACTTCCCCTTGCCCCTGTATTTTGTACTGTTTTCCATCTTCAAGGGTAACATTTGAACATTTAGGATTCACAGGGTTACAAATTAAACTTTTGTTGTTCACTATATGCTGTGAACATCCAGAGTCCACATAAAATATGTCTTCAACTGCTGGACTCCCCTGGGACTTCACAATTCTTACATACGAGGAACTCCTCCTCTGGTTCACCTTCTTCCCTCCTTGCTTCTTCTGCTGCTTTGGGCAATTCCTCTTTAAATGGTTTGGAGACCCACAATTGAAGCATCTTCTCACCACACAAACTTTCTCCGTCTCCTCCTCGAGTGCAACTCCGGCTGACTGCTTTCCTTGAGAATGCCCTGCTGTGTTTGCAGTCTCCAGGAATTGATCTCTTTGCCTTTCCCAATCAGCAAGAAGTCTGGCACAAATATATTGGAGATTTAATGGTGCTTGGGGGAGTGATTCTAAGGAATTTACTATCCCATCAAACGAATCATCCATGGATGACAGGACAATAAAACATTTGTTCGGCTCTGTGAGATGAAAGTCTCTCTCCTCCAGTTGCAAAAACAAACTCTGCAATATCTGCAAATGGTCTTTCAGACTTTCATTCTTCTCCAGTCTTTTCCTGTAAAGTCGCCTTGCCAGCACAGCCACTGTTGCTG